GAAACTTTTCAAACTACCGATAAACTACACTACTTTTAAAATGACCAAAACTTGATCACCAGTTTTGATTTACCAAAGAATACATAAATATATGGCAACTTTTAAAATTGTCTGGAATTTATATGTAGTTTATGAAATTATATCCTGTTTTTAAATTATCCAAAAGTTATGTCCATTTTCAAATTACTAAAAAATCATTTCCATATTTTGAGGAACATTTTGTCTTCAATTTTTAAATAACCAAAAATATGTGTCCGGTTTTCACTTTCAAGTGTTCAAACGTGCAAAAGCTTTGCAAGGCTTCGACAAACCCCGTAGTATTTGTATAGATACATATGTACTTAGCACCTCGCCGTAATTATGCAAATCAAATGTCCGCAAATACTAAACTTGCAATTTCAAAACTTTTCACTTTCAGCTCAACAACATTGAATATTTAATAAACATTCACATTAGAGCAGCCATTTACATTTTACCTGCACCCCACTTCTCCTCATCCTTCGCTTAACTATACACTAACAAATTGTTTTTCATTTTTTGTTTTACGAATTTCATACACATTTAAATTAATTTCCTTCACTTATGCCCGAGTGGGTGGAGCAGGCGGCAGTGTTAATGGTGGCAGTGGTTGGCAGTGGCGGTAGCGGCGCTCCAAACGGAGATGCTCTGCGGCAAAACACCAAAGCAAAAGTAAAATACACCCACATGCATACCTACCTAACTATATATACAAACGTACTTATAACATACAAATGTATGTGGTAAACAACTAAAACCCACTAAAGTGTCTGCTCCTATGCGCGCAGCTCGTTTAAGTGAATGTCTCTACCATCTCTCACGGTTGTAAGCGCCAAGCTAACTTAAGTTGCCGATTGCTTAGCTGGCTGACTGACTGGCTGGTTGGTTGCCATCGGCTATACATGGTTGTACATATATGTACATGTATGTGTGTTTTGCTCGCTTTTACTAAAATCAGGCGAATCGGAAAAACTTTTTCAATTAAATTCATTAATATGCAATGATAAAGCGGTCAGTTGCCGCCTGCATCTCTTTGCCGTTTACGCTTGCACGCAGCTGCGCACACCTATGTACATACCATACCTACATATGTATGTATATTCATATACATATATTTGGGCATTTCCATGGCAGGGATTCATGGAAGCGAAAAATCCAAAATGTTACTTTTCAATAAGTAATAGGGCTAAGTTTTTATAAATATAATAAAAATATTGAGGATATGTCAAATCACTATATTCATTACCCTTAACATAGCTAGAGTTAATTACAAGTAGTGCCTCCCAATTTAAAAAAAAAAATAGTGAAAAAACTTGCTGTAACGCGAGTGACGGTATATAATTCCATGTATCTTTCATATCTCTCTGAATTTCCTTGTAATCTATTTTTGCAAACTACTCTCCATTTAATTCCTAATAATATAAAATAAAATAAAACTAGTTATTTTAAGAACTTTTACATAACAACATTGCTCTAAATCCCTTGTGCCGAATTGTAGTGACGACTAACTTTTAATTTGTATTTAATAAGATATAAGAATTTCATTGGAGATGGTTCGTAAAATATCATTACGTCTATATATTCGAACAAGTAAACTCTTTCGTAAGCCGAAATATGCAAATATAGACTTCTAATATTAAAATTTTACTTCGAATATAACGCGAGTGGAATCACCCATATATATGTACATTAGAGTGGGGCACCTTCCAAAATTTTTCCTTTTACCGAAAGAGGTGCTGGTACCAAACCTTACGTTTCTAAGTATACATTTGGAGGATGCTCACGATGCTCATATTTTACTCTAAAAGTATTGTGTACATTTATTAATCAAACAATTGGTTAAGTAACCTACATAAGAACATTTAAAATTTAAATTTTCTATTAAAATATCACAAGCTTAAGTTGTCATGGCAACAGTATCTTTTTATAAAAATCACCAATATTTTTGCCAGTTTGACAGCGATCTAGTAGCGCACTTCAAGGTCATTGAGCACCCTGTATTGGTTGCAGTAGAAAACTGAAAGTTGGGATAGATAGTACAAATACCAAAACGAAAAAAACTGAGGGGGTGCCCCGTTTTCTAGGATGAAATTTTTTTCCCCCCTACAAAAGTTGGACCACTCTAATATACATACATATGTATGTATGTAAATATATACACATCGCTTTACTTCAATAGGAACACATATTTTCTTCAAGATCTAAGCATATATCTGAATTTTTAGACAGCAGAGAAGTTTCTTTAACCGACTTCAAAAAAGGAGAAGGTTATCAATTCGTCGGAATATATAAATTTTTTTATCTATGTGACCGCATAACTTTGGACCACGTCCACCGATTTCTATAATTATTTTTTTCTTTCTTAAAGGAGCGGTGATACCTCAAAGGTGGTCCCATACTAATTTGGTTTAGATCCGATCATTGGATCATGAAACAATTATCGATAATATTAAATTTTTATATGAGAATCGAAGTCGGTTTTGTTTATTGCTGAAATATGACTTGTATTGATCTCATATTGAAGAGTGATCTCTTTCAAAGAAAGGTGGTGAAAATTGAGATAATGCCACTATTACCTTGGACTTTATTCGGCGTTTTATCAAATTACACGAAAATTTTAGTTATTATTTTGATTCACTTGAATAGGACTAGATTGAACCGAAAAAATTATACCATTCATTTCAATTCTACTAGACAACACTTTTAGTATTGGACACTCGTAAAGGACTTTTGTTATTTCTGTCTAGCTTCTGTGTTCAGGCTCCATTTCATGCTTTTTCCATGTGAAGCTGTCGAAAACATTTGCATTTCCTTGAGTCTTATTTCCAACAGATCGCCTGCAAAGTTCTGGATTCGTGAAGTCCTCCATTTATGCAATTTTTGCAGTTGAAAGTACGCCTGCTGCGCCCATTCTTACTCTGTTATAGTTCTAATTATCCTTTAAATTTTTAAAAAGGTTTTAAGTGCAATTTTAATAACTGTGTTGAACACATAAGGAGCCTACGCATCCTTGTGCCTATTTAAGTGAATCTAAATAATAAGAACAATTTTCGTGTAGTTTGATAAAAAGTGGAATAAAATCCAAAGTAATCAGGGTGTTTTCTTAATTTTCACCACTATTCTTCGAAATTAATCATTTTTCAAAATAAGATCAAAAAAAAAACTTCTCTGATGCTCACAAGTCCAGATATAAGCTTGGATCTTGAGGAAAAGATGTGTACCTATTCAAGTGGAGCGGGCTGTGTATATAGAGTAGCTCATTACTTTTGTTGTTGTTGTAGATATTGCTGTTTGATTGTACGCTGCACGGTGTTTTGCTGTTTTTGTAATTGTCGCGTTGTCGTTACTGTTGTTGACGCTTATGGCATTGATGATGACTTTGCCCGCAAACTTGTTACAGCTGTGGTTAACCAAATAGCCCAGTACACAGTTTAGGATAATGAAAGCGAATTGGAAACTCTGTATTCGTACATATAAATACATTCGTACACATAAACTGCATGCAATAGATATTAAACGTTTTCCGTTTTGTTAATATATGTAAACACCACATACTCGTTTTGAGACATCTTTGGTTTGCAGTGTTTTTTTAAGCTAGGTGCACATAAAAACGCAAAAACAACTCAAAAAACGATATTGATATGGCGATGTCGATTATGAATCAATAACTGTACTGAAAAAGAAATCCCACAATACCGATATAAGGTGACGTAGCAATAAATATAGTAGAATATAATATACGTAGCGATAAAGAAACCGATTATCGATGTTACTAAAAATATCGATTAAAAATGCCACTAAAACCATAACTAAAATTAGCTGAACGATTATAATGCCAATAAAATATCTGGAGCTATATTGGTAATAATAACGCAAGTCTGAATGTGGGGACATAGTGGCAGTTTATAGTTTTTCTTTCGCAGAGTTGAAATTATGACTACCTTCCCTAGCTGGTTTTCTCTAGGCCATATTTGAGGACAAAATTTGTCGATACCTTTTGACACAACCTTTTATCCATACAATAGGTCGTTTAGAGTTAATATCTTCTCCGGAATACTAAAAATTCGCAGAGCAGTCTTTCTATCGTATCAAAAGCGCGATCGAAGTTCACT